AATAGCCATTCAAAACATGTCTACTTACTTACTTCAATAAATTAGCAACAGGAAGTTACCTTACATTTAGCAAACATTTGAGCACTTAACTGTGTCTATACACTGGTGGTCAAAAGTAGACACAGTTCCTGTCTCTAACATTCAGAGTAGTCAAGACAACAAAGTCTCTAGTCCCAGCTACTTGGGAGGCTGAGACAGGAGGATCGCTTGAGCCCAAGAGTTTGAGGCTATAGTGTACTATGACTACATAAGTACAGTCGTCCCTAGGTGTAGACAGGGCAGTGGTTCTAGGTCCTCACACCAAAATCTGTGCATACTCAAATCCCATAGTCTGCTGTACAGAACCCACATATACAAAAAGTCAGCCCTCTGTATGTGTGGTTTTTGCATCCTGAGTGTACTATATTTTCAACCTGAGTTTGGTTTTGGATGCAGGACCTGCAGATATGGAGGGCCAACTGTATTTTTTTGGAAAAAATTTACATATAAGTAGACTCTCAGAGTTCCAGCCTGTTCAAGAGTCAATTTGAACATCTTGATTTTTTTCCCCCCAAGTGTTATTCTCTGTAATTATGAAAGAATAGGGGAAGTGTATGAAAGTGTATGAACCCTAAAATTTGTTACTGTTTATTTTTATCCCTTAACAGTTATTATGCCAGTCAGAAGAAAACATTTGAAATTAATCCCAGACACCCACTGATCAGAGACATGCTTCGACGAATTAAGGTGAGTAATAAATACTACAGCAACCTTACTTGTCTTTGAATTTGAATACTTTGTATTTTTAATGTTAATCAAGTGCATCTCCTTCCCTCTCAGGAAGATGAAGATGACAAAACAGTTTTGGATCTTGCTGTGGTTTTGTTTGAAACAGCAACACTTCGGTCAGGGTATCTCTTACCAGACACTAAAGCATATGGAGATAGAATAGAAAGAATGCTTCGCCTCAGTTTAAACATTGACCCTGATGCAAAGGTTTGTATCCCCAATCGTCCCACATAGGTTGGCTGGCTTTCTTTGTTTCTTTATGTTCTTTCAGAATAGGCTTCTCATGATTAAGTGATGTAGCTTTGCCTGATTTCCCTTTTTGAAATAGTTTTCTTGGATGTTTGAATCCCCATAGTGTCAGGCATTGCACTAGAAATTAATAAGTTTTCTTTTCCTATCCTCCTTCACTTTTGCCTTTCTCCCTTTGTTAGCTTGACTGCTAACTCTACTTAGAGGATTTGCTTTGTAGTTCTGAATAAAGAGAAGTGATGTTAAAGTATGATTTTACACATGTAAATGAGCAAAGCGAAAGTAGATCCACGGCATTAATATGCCCATAAATGTTGACCTTAGGTGGAAGAAGAACCCGAAGAAGAACCTGAAGAAACAACAGAAGACACAACAGAAGACACAGAGCAAGATGATGAAGAAGAAATGGATGCAGGAACTGATGAAGAAGAACAAGAAACAGCAAAGGTATATTAAATCAAGAATGAGACTTGAATTTTTAGTTCTTAAAAAGAGTTTTAGGCCGGGCGCGGTGGCTCACGCCTGGAATCCTAGCACTCTGGGAGGCCGAGGTGGGCGGATTGTTTGAGCTGAGGAGTTCGAGACCAGCATGAGCAAGAGTGAGACCCCGTCTCTCCTAAAAATAGAAAGAAATTGGCTGGACAACTAAAAATATATAGAAAAAATTAGCCGGGCGTGGTGGCACATGCCTGTAGTCCCAGCTACTCGGGAGGCTGAGACAGAAGGATTGCTTGAGCCCAGGAGTTTGAGGTTGCTGTGAGCTAGGCTGATGCCACGGCACTCACTCTAGCCAGGGCAACAGAGTGAGACTGTCTCAAAAAAAAAAAAAAAAAAAAAAGAGTTTTAGTTCTGGTGAAGGTAGGACCCATGTAACTTACAAAAGTTAGACTGTGAACCTTATACAAACCTGCCTTAAAATAGGTATCTATCTAATATCAAATTCGAAAGCTTGAGCAAATCACTTTTTCTCTCTTTAAAAAGTATGTAATCTTGTCACTTCCTTTGTTCCTCTATTTTAACCAGCCATTCATCTTCTGGTTTTCCTATTTTTGCAGGAATCTACAGCTGAAAAAGACGAATTGTAAATTATACTCTCACCATGTGGATCCTATGTGGAGAGAGAATGTGAAATTTAAGTCATTTCTTTTGGGAGAGACTTGTTCTGGATGCTCCCCCAGTCCCCTTCTCCCCTGCACTGTAAAATGTTGAGATCGTGGGTCACAGGAGGAAGTGGGTTTTTTTAGTTGAATTTTTTTTAACATTCCTCATGAATGTAAATTTGTACTATTTAACTGACTATTCTTGGTGTAAAATCTTGTCATGTGTATAAAAATAAAAAAGATCCCAAATACTCAGTGTTTTGACTGTATTTTTATAATACATTGCCTAGAACTACCTGACACTTTGCTACTTTTTTTTTTTTAATCATATGTCTTGGGTTCTTTCTTTTCCTTACAAAAGTGACTCATGCGTATCAAAGAAAAGTTTTTTTAAAAATCAAAGGTTGAGTTGGACAGGGTGACTGGTAGCTATAGTCCCAGCTACTCAGAAGGCTGGGACAGGAGGATTGCTTGAGCCCAAGAGTCCAAGGCTGTAGTGTGCTGTGATTGTGTTGCATTCCAGCCTGGGTTACAGTGAGACCTCAAAAAACCAAATGTTTGAGTTTAAAAATCAAAGATTTAAAAAATCTCCCATAGGGAGAAGAGAGAATCTTTCTTACAGAAGAATTCCAAATAACACATAGATACTCCCTCTTCCAGGGCATGTAATTTAATCCTCCACTCCGTTTTGAGTGTGGCTAGACTTAGTGACTCACTTCTAAAGAATAGAAAGGGAAAAATGGTAACTTTTACAGTGGAGAAACCTGGCAGACACGACCTTAACCAAGTGATCAAGCTTAATGTCAGAAGTAATGTATACCCCATGATAGGATATGATGAGAAGGGTGCTTCACTTCTGTGGTATTCTTTCCAAAAACCCGTAATATCAACCTAATGCTATGTCAACAGTGCTCTTCAAGTTTCAAGATCGTGAAAAAGGAAGAAAGACGGAAATACTCAGGTTGGAGAAGACTAAGGTACGTGATAACTAAATGCAGTGTGATACCCTAGACTGGATCCCAGAAACAAGGCATTAAATGGAAAAACAAATCCAAATAAGGTCTAGAGGACAGTTGAGAGTAATGTACCAATACTGGTTTCTTTGACATACCATGGTAACTTAAGATGACAACATTCATGGAAATAATGGGTATATACAGGACCTCTATCATCTAGTTTTTCTATAAACCTAAATGCCAATTTTTTTAAGCTGTCTTTGAAAAAAATCACCCAAAATTCTACCACAGAGATAACTATAAGGCATTGAGGGACGATCCACATTGAGATATTTTATTCTTTTGAAATGTACTCTTATTTATGGGAGAAACAGTTTCTAATTTGACTATTACAACCATATGAGATGGTAGTCTTTTATTTTTTTATTTTTTTGAGACAAGGGTCTCATTCTGTTGCGTGGGCTAGAGTGCAGTAGCACAATCAGCTCACTATAACCTCAAGGTCTTGCTTTGTTGCCCAGGCTGGTCTCGAACTCTTGGCTTCAAGTGATCCTCCCACCTTGGCCTCCCAAAGTGCCCGGATTATAGGCATCAGTCACCAAGCCCAGCCTATCTTGGACTTTTTCATGATTTAAAAAATCTTTTATTACAAAGAAATAGCTTAGCACTACTTTTAATTTTTGATGTTTGTATATATATCACAGATTTGGTTCCCCAAAAAACAATGGCATGGAGTTTAGGATATAGAGTGTTTATTAAGGAGTGCCCACAGATGCACACCTGTGGAAGGACAGGAACTGAGATCGAGCAGAAGTTAAGCTGCAATGTAGGCCCAAACACAGTGTCAGTAAACCCCACGGGGAGTTGTGGAACTAAAGCAGGCCCATCAGAGTTGCCCATCCCTCCTGGTGTGCTGAAATGGCCAGGCCTTTCTGCTCTCACCTCCATCAGTTATTGGATGTGGGCCCCTTCAGGAGGCGTGGCTTTGAGCAAAGAAACTAGCTGAGGCAATCCTTGCAGAAGCTGACAACGGAAAGCCGCTCACTGACAGTGCTCCTAGTGCTGCAGGGACAAGCCTCCCTTAGGGAATCTAGGTGGCACATTTCCACGCCCACCACAATGTATATTTTTCACAATGGGGGTCAACTTCAAAAGGGGAAGAAAATATGTATCTTGGTGGAAGTCACTTAGAACCAGCACTTACTGAAATAAAGATGGCATTTTATTTTAGTAACTAAAATTAATTTTTTGCCTTCATTAAGTCGTTGTCTTGTAGGCGATGGGTTCAAATCATGATTATGTCAGTAGCCGGATCATTTACTCTGTACCTGTAAAAGGAAGGTATAGGGGAGCTTCTTAAGTGTGGCCCACTGCATTCCTCCGAGACAGGATCCTCCCCCTGCACATAAACTGGCCCTAAGGGTCGGGTCCTTTGCACAAAAGGTGAACAATGCCCCAGCCCTTCATTCTAGAAAGTGATGAGGGCTCCTCACTGGTATCTACAAAGTACATTAACAAAGCTCTCCAATTTGCTGTTCATATACTAAAGTCAGCAGAAAACTATTAATACAATTTGAAAATATCAGTTAATACAATTTGAAAATATCAGTTTAACAATAAGAAATAAAAACCCCATTTAGCAAATTAACTAAACTAGTTTATGGTTTTTAAATGATTTTATTGTTGATTTACATTCAAGACAACCCACATAGTATCTTTGCAAATACTCTGTCTCACATGATATTCAAGACTAATTATGTTCCAAATCATATTCAAGAAGTAGATGATAAACACTTCGACAGTTTTCAAGAAATATTGGTCAAACCACAATTAAATTTCAATGTACTGAGCACCTCCTCTTGCACTTAGCATTGGACTAGGTGCTTAAGTATTAATAGTTTGACTCAATAAATGTTTAAAAAATGCTTACTTAAGATATAATATTATTCACAGAATTCTTGGCATAGTTGTATTTAAGTGTCTACTGCTGAGAAATTTGAGGTTCGTGTTGTCTCTCTTTCAGTCCCAAAAGCTCTGTTTTGAGTTCTCCAGGCTTCGGTGGAATTTCAGGTATCGTCTATAAAAAACAAAAACCATAGGTGTCAGTGCTTTCTTTGACTGTAATTTAATGTGACGTGAAAGACTTTAAAGAGTAAAAAAAAACAAAAAGTCACCTGCTTGCCACTCAATGATAAATATTATGAGAACCTGTGAGACCCTTTCTAACCTTGTATTTATAGGATTCCATCATCCTGGCAATGTCTTAAGTACTACAGGCCTCACAGAGGGATGGTTTGCCACATTTGAAAAATTCATTCCTGCACTATCCACTGACTTTACCATGTACCTGGCACAGAAAATAAGTATTAGAAATTAATACATTTATTCAAAAATATTAAGTGTCTGTTATGTGCAAAGCATAAGGCAGTGAGGAAAAAAATACAAAATCCTTGCCTTCAAGGAAGGTGGTCCGATAGGTAAGGCATGAGGTGACTTTTTTTTAATAATAGCTTTATTGAGAGATAATTTACATACCATACCATTCACTGATTTAAAGTGTACAATTCAATGGCTTCTGGTATATTCAGAGTTGTGCATCTATCACAATTAGTGATAAAATTACTTGTGCATCTAATTTTAGAACATTTTCATCGCCCTCAAAAGAAACCCCATACCCACTAGCAGTCACTCCCATTTCCATACAACTATTTCCAAACAACTATTAATCTTTCTGACTGTATAGATTTACCTATTCTGTTCATTTCATATAAATGGAATCATATGTGGTCCTTTGTTTCTGGCTTCTTTCATGTAGCAAAACATTTTCAAGGCTTATCCATGTTGTAGCATGTTATCAACATTTCATTTGTTTATTGCTGAATAATACTCCAGTGTATGGATATACCATATATTTATCCATTCACCAGCTCATGTGCATTTAGATTGTTTCCACATTTGGGCTAAAACAAATAATACTGCTCTGCACATTCATGTCCAACTTTTTGTGTGAACGTATGTTTTCATCTCTGCTGGGTATAAACCTAGAAGCTGAAATGCTGGGTCATATGGTAACTCTATGTTTAACTGTTTGAGGAACTGTCAGACTGTTTTCCAAAGGAGCTGCACCATTTCACATTCCCATCAGCAGTGCATGAGGGTTCCAATTTCTCCACATCGTTGACAACACTTGTTATTATCCGTTTTATTACAGCCATCATAGAGGGTATGAAGTGGTATCCCACTGTGGTTTTGATCTGCATTTTTCTGATGGCTAATCATGCTGAGCATCTTTTCGTGTGCTTACTGGCTGAGAAGGTGACTTCTGAACAAAGACATGAAGGAGGATGAGGGAACCAGGGATGCAGTTATCTAGGAGTGTTTCAGGTAGATGGGACCACAGGTGCAGAGGACCTAAGGCAAGAGTGTGCCTTCCTGTTTGAGGAAAAGCAAGGCTGTCAGTATAGCTGATACAAAGTATTCAGGGAAAGGACAAGAGGAGACAAGGGCAGAGGAAAAAAGGGAGTGGGGACATAAAAGTCTCCAGTGGCTTTTACTTTGAAATGGGAAGATATTGGAGAGTTTTGAGAAGAGTCACATGACCTGACTCAAGTGTAAAAAGATGACAATGGTAGCTTTTTTGGGAATAGACCATAGAGGAGCAAGAGTGGAAGGTGGAAGACAAGTCGGGGAGCTCTTGCAATAACTAAGATGAAAGCTGACTGACAATGGCTTGAACTGGGTGGTAGCAATGGAGGTGGTGAGAAGTGGCCAGCATCTGAATGTACTTTTCAGATTAGTCCAGTGGGTTTTGCAGCTATGTGCTAGCTTTGAACCTGAACAACTAGAAGAATAGTCGCCTCCTTTGCTATTCTAATAAGCTGAGCTGGACAACTAGAGCCAAGCACCTTTAACAGTTCTCCCTAAGACAACACTGAGCACAAGCCCTGGGCAGCCATCATGGTCGTCTACTCTGGACTCTGGTTGTCAGACTGAAAGACTTGTGCGCAGGCTTTGTTATAAAAAAACAGAGTGGTTGGTGGTTGTTAACAATAGCAGAAAATAGGTGCTAGAACAATACCAAAAGACATAGGTAAATAAATGACTTAAATGTTAGCATCGCATACAGCATCCTATACACAGCCAGCCATCCTGGACTTTGAGTCCCTACAGAGGTGTCCCACTGCCAATGTCACTGCCCAGTCAGACTGAGGTGGCCTGAGACCCTTCAGTATTGATGTTCTAGAGACTGGCTTCATGCTGCCTCCTCCAAGGTACAGGTAGGTAGCCGCTGGTAACAACCCTTGCACATTCCCAATTAAAATAAGAAGGGGGAATCAAAGGTCAGTTTCCTAGAGGCAGATCCCAGGTATTCCTTCCTTTGTAAACCCTGCCTGATGTCTATTCCTGCACAAGCTGGAGATTAAACTGCATTTCTGTGGAAGGTTCTTGCCACTTTGTCTCCATTAGGTATCTTTGATGCTTCACTAGAACTCTTAAAAGAGAAGCAGTCTGTTGAAACTCGGACTTGGGGGGGGGGGGGGAAGGGCAACATACGTAACCTAAACATCTGTACCCCCGTAATATGCTGAAATAAAAAAAAAAAAAAAAAAAAGCAGTCTGAAATGGTAAGAAAGAGCCATTGCGGCATTGTTTGTACAAAAACTACATACCACCTAAATGTCAATATGGGATTGATCAAATAATACATGGAATATCCATATTACGAAACACTGCAATGGTTAGAAAGAAGGCTATTTACATACATAAATGTCTACTCATGTAGATGTTAACCAAAATAAATTACAGAGAAATGTGTATATGAACTCCTACTTACATGGGGAAAAACACTCCACAAACTATAAACTCTGTGTGTGTGTGTGCACGTGTGCACATGCATGCATGTGTGAGCATTAAAAAACTGGAAAAAAATCTGGAAGGCTATACACCAACCAATAAATGGTAGTTACGTGTGGGGAGTAGACTGGAGAAAGAGGGTTGTAAGTGGGAAGTTTCACTTTTTACTTAACACACTGGAATTCAATTTGAATGTCTTACAAGAGTTATTGTATTATTTTATGAATGTTAGGTCCGGAGCCGAGAGAGAGACACACGAAGTCTCATGTGTAGCAAAACGCTGTTTATTTTGAGTATCTGGGTGTAGATGGGTGGAGGCTGAAAAAGGCATCCACTCTGTGGGAGGGGAAAGCCTTGGGTTTTATAGAGGGTTTCTCAGGGGGGCGTGAGTACCTGGGCCAGAACAGCCATTGCTATAAAAAATTTATTTAAACAACCAATTTCCGGGACCCTTGAGTCAGTCTCATCCTGTAGAGATAAGGGAGGGGGGTAGTTCCCTCCTTATGGAGGGGAATAGGAATGTCACAGCTGTCTGTTAGATTTTACAACTTCCAGAGACTCTCCAGACTCCTGAGGCTATTGTTTCACAAACCTCCGTTTTCCATTAACCACATTCCATCCTATACATACTTTTTGAGTTCCCACCTGGAACAAACCTAACAATGAACAGAAACAAAAAAAGAGAAACAGCAAACAGAAAGCTTAGGCTTCAGATCCTTAATTCGATGCCTCACTAAGCTACGTGACTTTGAGAAACCATCTTGACTCTTCTGAACCTCAGTTTTCTCACCTGAAAACAAGGATAAACACCTCCAAAACTGTAGTGACAATTAACTAATATTAGAAACACAAATGGTTGATTCTCTGTGTTACCTGTCCAGGCAAAGTCGAAGCAGAAATGACTGCTCCCTATATGGTGCTTCAAACCACTATTCATGTCTATAGTGTAACAGCACACTCTCGTAATTAATTGCACTGTATTTTCTCACCTCCACCTCCCCAAGACTGTAATTCCTAAAAAGCATCTCGAATTCCCAGTTCCTAATTCAATGAATGCTTATTAAAGTTAATTTAAATTTCTCCATCCTTTGAATGCCTATATCCATGCATTCTTCACTCAATATTTACTGAGCATCTACTACATTCCAAGTTCTTCTCTAGGTGATTGAGATACAAGAGTGAACCAGATAGACATAGTCCCTTCCTGGAGCTTATATTCTAGTGGAGCAAACTGACAAAGAACAAATAAACAGACAAATGAATACAGTAATTGCAAATCGCCACAAGTGCTCTATGGAAACAAAGAACCCAGAAGGAACAGCAGAGGACGAATCCTTTGGGAGCTGGCCAAAAGACCCTCATTGCTGGAGGGGATATTTGAGCAAAGATTTGAAGTTTTGAAGAATGAAACCAAGCCAAGTTGTGGGGAGGAAAAGCAGGCCAAGGAGAAGGAAGAGAATGGCCCTGAGGTAGGGACAGGTTTGCTGAGTTTGAGATACAACAAAGAAGTAGGTTTAACTGCAACAGAGGGAACAAGGGGGAAATGGCAGGAGATGGGCCAGCGGTAGGCAGCGGCCAGACTGTAATACCTCACAGGCCATGCGTTCTTCTAGATGCAATGGGATGCCATCAGCAACTTTTAGGCCCACCCCCGGCAGATGTGATCCCAATTTCGTTTAGGATCACTTTGGCTGCTGTGAGGAAAATGGAGTGGTCCAGGAGCTAGGACTAAGGGACCCTCCTGCACTCACCAGGTCCGGCCGGTAGTACCTGTGCACCACTTCGGCCCCCGCGCACATGGCTAGGAGGCTGGCTGCGAACATTTTCAAGTAGGTGGCGAAGGGCACGCCCGCGGGCATGGTCGGCGGGCTGGACGGGGAGGGAAAGGGCAGTGTGAGAAGGTTCTCCACTCACGACGAAGCTAAGCCCGGGGCTGAGGGGCTGCAGGTAGCACTGGCAACAAGCCCCACAACAACGGGGGTGTGAAGTGCAGAACAGCTGGGTTCTTCCCCATCCCTGCGCCTCGGCTTCCTCCTTTATGACATGAGGGCACTGAGGGGACGAACGCCCCTACCAGGCCCATGCCCAGCCTTCAATCGTTCATCAGTGTTGGGGGCCTGAGCAGCTCTTGCTGAGCAAGCGGACGGCCGACACCGGTGGTTCCCCCGCGCCTCTCCAGTCTCTAGGAGAGGAACTGCGGACGCCACTACCCCCTGCCCCTGGTAGACGCGACCGGAGAGACACTGTACCGCGAGGTGCACAGGTGTGGATCGCGGGTCAGAGGGCGGGCGGAAGTGCTTTCAGGAGCCGGAGCGGACTGCGAGAGGGCCGGACGGAAAATACAGGAGCCGAGGACCAAGCCGGACTGGAAAGCGGAGGGACGCCGGTGCAGGCACGTGACCCCGGCGGAAGTGGGCGCTGGGAGAAAGCTAGAGGGGTTTTTTTGCCCCCTAGTTCCCGTACTTCCCAGCCCGGCGCTCCCGGTACCTCATCCTGTAGATGAATTTCCCTGCCAGATGTAGTGTCTCAGGATTGGCTCTGGATTAGTCCGTCATTCGTTCTTTCGCACACTCAAAGGAAAGTGCACGTGTTTATCACCTTTTAGGAGGGGTGGAGAATCACACGTCGAGCCAATTGCGTGCTTTTATATGCGGTCACTCTAAAGTGAGTGAAGTTACAAGCTCTCACTGTCCTTGTGCCTGGCGTCTTTTGATGCCTGAAATAGAACGACACCCAGACACCTATGCCCTTATGTTATCTGTGGTGCTGCTGGGGAAAAAGGAAACCTGCAATTTATTTAATCCAGGTATTTTTACATTGTTTTGATTATGGATTGATTTTTTTTTAAGCAAAAAGCACATGACTGAATTTTGAAGAATTCGGTTGTATGTATGAGTCAATATACTAATTTTTAAACAATTTTGTGGGTATATTTGACATACAATAAACTGCACGTATTTAAAGTATACAATTTGATAGGTTTTGACATGTGAGCCCATTACTACAATTAAGATAATGAACATATCCATCACCCTCAAAAGTTTCTTTGTGTTTCTTTCTACTCCCTTCCACACTGCTTCATTCCCTGGGTAATCACTGATCTGCTTTCTGTCATTATAGATTAGTTTGCATTTTCTAGAATGTTATATAAGTGGAATCATACAGTATGTACTATTTTTTGTCTGGCTTATTCCAGGCAGCAGAGTTATTTTGAGATTCATTGCGTTGCTGCATGTATCAGCTGTTCACTCCTTTTTATTGCTGGGTCTGTTGATATCGCAGTTGGTTTATCCATGTACTTTATCCATTTTGATTGCTTCCAGTTGTTGGTGTGAAAATAAATAAAATTTAAAAGCTGTTGGAACCCCTAAAAACACTTTAAGCCTTGAAAGAAGCATGACTGTAATCTTACAACTTCCATTCTCAGATTATGGATAAACTCACTTTCTTATTTTTCTTGTTCCATACAATGACTAGAGAGAATTAACCGATGTCAGGGACAAAAACTTCCTGCCTTCTTAATTTATCACTCTTGTTATAGATTAATTTCCCCTTTGTTATCCTGCTTTGTTTAGACCAGATGACAGAAAACCCATGATTATTACACCATCTGTTAAAAAAAAAAAAAGTTAAATGTCCCTTTCACTAAAAGAAACATATCCTATAATCAATCAGATTGCTGTAACTATGTGCCAACCCTGTATGAATAATATTGTAATCCTGCTAAAACTCCTCTGTCTCTGCCTATATAAATGAAATCTTAACTTTGCTACTTCAGAATTCTGACGCCATTCCTTTGGAGTTGGTTTTTCTGGGTGGTCCTTCCTCACACTTCGTGCCTGAATATATTCTCTTTAAATTAGATTCTGACCCTTTTAATTATTTTAAGTTGACATTGACTAATAGAAATAAAGCTGCTATGAATAGTAAAGTATAGGAGAAAGACTGGTATACAAGTCTTTCTGGGAACATAAGCTTCCATTTCTGTTAGGTACATATCTAGGAGAAGAGTGACTGGAACATATGGTAGGTATATATTTAACTTTTTAAGAAATTGCCAAACTGTTTTCCAGAGTAGTTGTACAATTTTACATTCTCACGAGCAGGGTATGAGAGTTCCAGTTCCTTCACAATCTCTCCAAGATTCGCTCTGGTTAGTCTTTTTAAATTTAGCCATTCTAGTATGTGGGTAATGGTTTCTCATTATGATTTGAATTTATGTTTCCCTCATGACTAATAATTCAGGTATTCATATGCAAAAATACAACAAATAAGCAACAACAAAAAAAAGAACTTGAACATATACCTCACACCGTATTAAAAAATCAAAATGGATCGTAGACATTGATGTACTTATACAGTCATATGTTACATAACAACATTTCAGTCAGTGATGGACCGAATACATGCTGGTGGCCCCATAAGATTATAATGAATCTGAAAAATTCCTATCGCCCAGTGGTGTCGTAATCGTAACATCTACTCATGTGTTTGTGGTGATGCTGGTGTAAACAAACCTACTGTGCTGCCAGTACTATAAAAGTATAGCACATACAATTATGTATAGTACTTGATAATGTATAATACTTGATAATGATAATAAATGACTATGCTACTAGTTTATGTATTTGCTGTTCTTCTTATTGTTATTTTTTCAGTGTACTCCTTCCACATATTAAAAAAAAGTTAACTGTAAAACAGCCTCAGGCAGGTCCATCTGAAGGTATTCCAGAAGGCCTCGTTATGGTAGATGACATGTCTGTTATTGCCCCTGAAGACCTTCCAGTGAGACAAGGTATGGAGGTGGAAGACAGTGATATTAATGATCTGGATTTTGTGGAGGCTTACGCTAATGTATGTGTTTGTGCCTTCGTTTTTAACAAAAAAAGTTTAAAAAGTAAAAATAAATAAATAAATAATTTTAAAAATAGAAAAAAGCTTGTAGAATAAGGATATGAAGAAAGAAAATATTTTTGTACAGCTGTATGATGTGTTTGTGTTTTAAGCCAAGTGTTATTACAAGAGTCAAAAAGTTGAAAAAATTTAAAAGCTTATAAAGTTAAAAAGTTACCGTAAGCTGAGATTAATGTATTGAAGAAAAATATTTTTTATAAATTTAGTGTAGCCTAAGTGTGCAGTGTTTATAGTCTGCAGTGCACAGTATACAGTCTACAGTGTACAGTAATGCCCTAGGCCTTCACATTCACTCACCACTTGCTCACACCCACCCAGAGCAACTTCCAGCCCTGCAATCTTCATTCATGGTAAATGCCCTATACATATTTTTTCTTTAATACCATATTTTTAGTGTACCTTTTCTATGTTTAAATATATAAATACTTACCACTGTGTTACAATTGCCTAAAGTATTCAGGACAGTAAGATGCTGTACAGGTTTGTAGCCTAGGAGCAATAGGCCATACTATATACCCTAGGTGTGTAGTAGGCTCTACCATCTAGGTTTGTGTAAGTACACTCTATGCTGTTCCCACAATGATGAAATCAACTAATGATGCATTTCTTAGAACGTGTCCCTATCGTTAAGTGATGCATGACTGTATTTTCATGTGCTTCTATTTTCTTTCGTGAAGTATCTGTTCAACTCTTTTGCCAATTTTTAAAATTGAGTTGTTTTCTTATGAGTTTTCAGTGTTCTTTATACATTCTGGACACAAGTGCTTTATTAGATACGATATGATCAATCTACAAATATTTTCTCCTAGTCTATAGCTTGCCTTTTCTTAATAGTCTTTGGAAGAGCAGAAGTTTTTGATTTTAATGAAGTCCAATTTACCAATTTTCTTTTTTATCGATAATGTCTTTTGTATTGGATTGTAGAAATATAACTCCAGGTCATAAATATTATTCTTCTGTATTTTCTTCAAGACATTTTATAGTTTTAGCCTTTACATTTAAGTCTTTGATCCATTTTAACTTTTTAATATGGTGTGGGGTATGGGTACAAGTTTTTTGTTTTGTTTTGTTTTTGCATATGGATCTCTGAATTTGCCTTTGCAGCTTTGTTGAAAATCAGTTGATCAGTTGTCCATGTATGTGTGTGTCTATTTCTGGACTCTGTTCTGTTTCACTGACATATTTATCTCTCCAATACCAATACCATACTGTCTTGATCACTGTAACTTACAATAACTCTTGAATCATGCAAGGTTAGCTCTCTAATTTTGTTCTTTCTAAGAGTTGTTTTGGCAATTCTAGATCTTTGCATTTCCATATGAATTTTAGAATCATCTTGTCAATTTCTACTCAAAAAAGCTTACCTGGATTTTGATTGCTATCATATTGAATCTTTAGACATTTTCACAATATTGATCTTCTGATTCATGAACATAGTATATCTCCCCACTTATTTCATCCTTAATTTCTCTCAGCAATGTTTTTCCATTTTTAGGATACAAGTCTTACACATATTTTGTCAGCTTTATCCCTAGGTATTTCATATTTTTTGAAGCTATTGTGACTGGTATTTTTTCTAATTGTTTGCTATTAGTATTTAGACTACAATTGATCTTCCTATATTAATGTTTTATCTTGCAACCTTGCTAATCTCAGCTATTAGTTGTAGCTTTTTTGTAGGTTCCATAGGATTTTCTACATAAACCAGCACATGAGCTATGAATAAAGGCAGTATTTTTTAATAGATATCATTTATCAATCTTGAGGAAGTTTCCAAGGAAATTCCCTTCTGATCCTAGATTGCTGAAAGTTTTTATTAGAAGTGAATGTTGTTATTTTGTCAAATGCTTAATCTGCATCTATCGAGATGATCATACACTTTTCTTAAAAAACGTGTTAATACAATGAATTATATTGATTTTCAAATGTTAAACCAATCTTATATTACTTAGATAAACTCCACTTGATCATGATCCTCTTTATATACTGTTGGATTCAATTTGCTAAATTTTATTCAAGATTCTTTACATCTATGTTCATGTTGGATATTGCTGTCAACTTGTCTGGACCATGGTGTGCAGATGTGTGGTCAAACATTATTCTAGGTGTTTCTGTGAGGGTATTTTGGGGTGAGATTTAACACCTTAAATGGGTAAACTCTGAGTAAAGCAGACTAACCTCCATCATATGGGTGGGCCTCATACAATCAGTTGAAGGTGTGAATAGAACAAAAGACTGACTTCCCTGAAGCAAAAGGGAATTCTCCGGCAGATGGCCTTCAGGCTTGAACTACATGCAATAGACTGAATATTTATGTCCTCCCAAAATTCATATGTTGAAACCTAATCACCAGTGTGATCGTATTGGTTAAGGCCTTTGGGAGGTAGTTAGGTAATGAGGGTAAAGCCCTTATAAATGGGATTAGTCCTTATAAAAGAGGCTCCAGAGAGCTGTCTCTCGCCTTCCACCATGTGAGGACACGGCTAGAAAGTACCATCTATGAACCAGAAAGTGGGCCCTCACCAGACATTGAATCTGCAGGCACCTTGATCTTGAACTTCCCAGCCTCCAGAACTGTGAGAAATAAATTTCTGTTGTTTCTAAGTCACCCAGTTGATGGTATTTTGTTATAGCAGCCCAAGTGGACTAAGATACAACAACACTGGCTCACAGGGTTATCCTGAGGATTAAATGGATTAACACATGCAAAGTACTTACAGCAGTCCATTGCACATATCAAACAGTAAATGTTGGAGGCTATAATTACCACCATAATCATCATTATTATTTTTCTGTACATAACTGCTGTCTTTAGCACCCATTCTCCTTGTTGCTGTGAGCTATTGGTCTCAAAAGCCTTCATATTCAGTAGGAACAGTAGCACCCATTTGTAGATGAAAATCTGCAGCTGGAAAAACCCTGCCCAGTATCAAACCTTGTTGACTATAAGATGTAACTGACTGGCATAACATTAGCTAAGAAGGAAGCAAGCTCACTAGGTTTCTGAAAGGGAGAGGAGGCATTAAGAGGAAGAGAAAGGGAAACACGGTGAAATGACTCGGCCCTTCTTTTGTTATTGTCTTATCATTTGTCCTATAACACAAAGTCTCTCTGAAGTAGAAGCACATTTGGCAAAAAAACAGGAAAGCAGTGCTTCTCCCAGGCCTCTCTGAGCTGTGGGGGGCCAAGCTCACAAGCAGAACAAGTTTGTCTTCCAGACTCAGATTCAAGGTGGTGAGAAAGACACTAATGGGACAGAAGTCACTTTGCTGCAATTGCTTCACCACTTTCAGGTTCAATGTCCTGCTCCCCAACAACTCCTCCTATAAACTTCCTTTTGCAATGCAGGACTGAGCAGAGAACCCTCCTCTCCTGAGGTTATGAATGGAGGTGGCAGGATCAGAAGCACAGTCCGCACAGTGAGAGAAATCCTTGCTGCCCAGGGATAATTCCCCGAGTGAAAACGTCCTGAAGAAAGTTTGCAGCTCTTCACACACACTTTCAGTTACCAGAATTCTCTCTCTGAAATAACTGAGGCAAGCCACCTGCTTTAAAACTTTTCTGTCCTGAATCATTAGCAAAATCAGACAGCGAGGATGGGTTTTTATTCATTCAGTCAACAGACACTCATTAAATACTTACCGTGTGCCAGTTTCTGAGTACTACCTACAAATGGACAGGGTATTCACAAAAGTTTTGCAATATTTTAAAATATTAAAAGTTTTTGTACTCTCTCTGTCAAAAAAAAAAGTTTTACTTAAAACTTTAAGCCATAGGTACAATACAAATTAATCTTTCTATACTTACTCATGGAAAGTATTTTTCTGGCTCCTAGAATGAAGAAGACACATGGAACACAGAGCCACAGCCATCTCCCAGCTCACATGTCACGTTACTGAGAATAAACCTTTGCTGTAAGCCATGGTTTGGAGTTATGTTACAAACTCGAGAAAGCTAATGAATACAACAGCCATGTCTGTCATCATGCGAAGGAGAGAAACAGAAAAGCGTATCTCCATTGAGTTATTTAATGACATCCTTGGTCAAACACCAGTGACAGAAGTTGAAAACTAATGAAACAAAAACCAGGGGAAGAACCACAGAGAAATAAGAGGGGTTAGTCTGTAAGCTTATGAGGTGATCCTTGATACGGTATCTGGTATCATAAGACTTCAAAAGTTAGTATTTTCACGTATCCAAAGTAAAGCAGAGAATGGTTTATGTAGAGACTTACATTTTACAAGTAGTTTTACATTCACCCACATTTCACAGATTAGGAAACTGAGGCCCAAGGTGGTACTGTGGCCTTGATTCCCACGTTTTCCGATTCCGAAGTCTCTTTCCCTATCGCATTACCCGACAATTAATGCAACACACCGTTTTAAATCGGGATAAAATTTGGGGTGATAAGGACTGGATAATGCTGAGAAGCACAAACGCCCCATCTACACAGGGCCCCTAAAGAATATAACCCCTCCACCCCCGCGTCCACGCACCCCTGAAAATTCAGGGCTGACAAAAGTTGACGTCAGCCGAGCGCCCCCGCCTTTTTTAGTCCTCCACCCTTCCCGAAAGGCCAAGCGGAGGAGCTGGGGAGCCCAAAGAGAAGGGGACGAGCGCGGTTGGGCTGCCCTGCGTCACGTGACGCTCACTAAGCATGGGATTTGGCTTCTAGGAGGCGGAAGTGCTGTGCGGAAAGGTGGCCCTTTGAGGGGTGTGGGGGAGAGCCTTGGGGGAGGAGCTTTAGGCCAGCCGCTGTCCGGGTCCTGCCAGCAATCGGGTCCAAGTCTGTGGTATTGTCGTATCGCCGTGTGTACGCCACCGTACTATAGAGACCGGTCGCCCGTTTGCCTGGCAGGAGAAGCCGCCGGCGCGAGCGGCCTCGGGGAATGGAAGCGGAGAACGCGGGCAGGTAAAGCCGGGGCGGAGCACCGCCCTCTCCCACTCCCCCTCCCGCTCCCCCTCCCGCGCCCCTCGCGGCGGGGCTGGCCGGCGGGCGAGCGCGCGCACGCAGGGGTCTTTAAGAGCCGTGGCCGAGTACAAAGGCCGGGGCCGCGCGTGCTCACTGCGTTCTGTTCGGCCGGGTTTCAGTGGCTGGTGGTCGGGGCCACGCCGAGGCGGTTCCTTGTGCAGCTGGACCCGTCTGCCGTCGCCCCCGATAACCAACTGGGGCTGGTTAATATTTCTTTCTCGACACCATTTTTGGCGACGTTTGCCTTCACCCTTCATTACCGCGCATAGAGCTGTAAGGCTCGAGCATCATACGTTCTCAGCTCCGGGAATTTTCATTTTAGAGTTAGTAGATTTATCGTGACTTCCTCCCCAAAGGCTTACTAAAAGCAACGTTAAGTGTCACGGATTAGAAAGTATTGCTGTGGAAATATGTATAACACTCTCAAGAAGTCAGTCTAACAATTGTCTTTCAGTTTTCCAGTGGTCTTGGGGACGGTCTTAAGAATCTGTTTTGAAAATGTGCTTTGGAGGAGTGTTAGATAGGTCAGGAGATTTTGCAGAAGCAGAGATTTAGAGATTTGAACTCCTGGTGGAAAGCTAAATTTAAAAATATAAATATGTCAGAGCCTTTTAAAAGATAAAGAAGATTTACATTGAAATAAAATACTGTTAGACCTAATGAAGACTTATCCTGACTCTCAGTGGCTCATGGGAGCTGAGAGACTTCTGTGGTTCTCTGTTCTTATCTGTAAAATAGACATTTCTGGAATCTGGTTCTGATATGCTGTGAATAGGTATAATATAGAATTGGCACACTGAAGTAACTAAAATAAATTGTCTTAGAGTTAGGGAAAGAGATACATGTAGATAAAGTGTGGACTTTATCCTTTGTGGATCAAACCGTGGAATAAATTACTCCATTTCTTTCCCAAAAGAACTTTACACATAAATAAGAGAATTCATCAGAACTTGTGGAAAGCGCTCTCACCCGTGTGATCTTACTTCAGAGCACGATTGAAACTTGGGCAAAGCCTACCATCAAATAAATTATATATTATAAGGCCTTATCAATATAATGAGAGAGTTCTATACCCATATGTCATGTGACTCTATCCCCAACTTTGTTCCTTTTAACAACTTAACAACTTCACGGTGCTGACAGCGTGCTGATAAAATTTGTGAGTGACCCAACTCTGGGAAGCTTTTGTGGAATTGATAGATTGAATCAGAATCCAGATAAATTCTGACTGACTAGAATGATGAATCATCTTTTGCAAAAAGAGGCACAATCCTGTACTCAGGTGCAGAAAAATAAATGATAAAGTGTGGGATGAGGAGAAGTGATATAAGGACAGTTGTTATTGATGGCAAACTCAGTATGAATCAACAGTATAATGTGGGTGCCAGAAAAGCTAAAGTATTGGGTTCTGTAGTTTGTCTCCAGAATGAGGACATTGATAGCCCTGCTCAGTTTCAGGCTAATGAGTGTTCTATTTGATTCTGAGCACCAAAAAATGGCCGGATAGTGAAGAAACATGAAATCTTACTGTATGATGACTATTTAGGTGAACTCCAGACTCTGGCTTATTCTAAATCTTTGTATTCACAGTTTCTAGTAGACTGTACACATGGCGAATACATACACTTCTCGGCAATATCAAACGCAGTCTTGTAATGGTTATGGTGCTATTTCATCATAGTTTACGTAACTAGACCTCTTCAGTTGAGCATTTGGATTATTTAGCACTGATAATTGCAGTATTGTATACGCTTGTTTAAGTGAAGAAAATAAAGTGTATTTAGGAAATAGCAACTTATATCCTTAAAATAGTGTAAAATAACAGAAGATTAAAGAAGTCGGAGTCATTAATTTTAGAGAAAACCTTAAAGATTTAGTTTTTTGAAGTACAGCAAATCCAAATTAACTAGACTTCTTTTTTTTTTTGGAGACAGAGTCTTGCTCTGTTGCCCAGGCTAGAGTGCCGTGGTGTCAGCCTAGCTCACAGCAACCTCAAACCTCCTGGGGTCAAGCGATCCTACTGCCTCAGCCTCCCGAGTAGCTGGGACTACAGGCGTGCACCACCATGCCCGGCTAATTTTATATATATATATAGTTTTTTAGTTGTCCAGCTAATTTCTATTTTTTTAGTAGAGATGGGGTCTCACTCTTAATCAGGCTAGTCTCTGAACTCCTGAGCTCAAGCGATCCACCCACCTCGCCCTCCCAGAGTGCTAGGATTACAGGCTTGAGGCACCACGCCCAGCCTAACTAGACTTCTTAATCAACTCTGCATGGGGTCTGTGTGCTTGTGTGTGTGTGTATGTGTGTGTTTTGACAAAGACTTTCAGAAAATACAGTTGGCCCTCCATATCTGTGGGTTCCACATCCAAGAATTCAACCAACTGAATCAAAACTGTTTGGAAAAAAAATCAATGAAAATAATACAACAATAAAAAAATTACAAATAAAAAAACAATACAGGATAACAACTACTTACCTAGCATTTATATTGTATTAGGTATTATAAGTAATCTAGAGATGATTTAAAGTAGACAGGAGGTTGTGCATAGGTTATATACAAATGCTATGTATACCATTTTATATCAAGGACTAGCATCCATGGATACTGGTATCCTTGAGGAGTCCTGGAACCAGTCCCTATGTATACAGAGGGATGACTTTACACCGTTCATCAATTTCAGGCAGCTATAAAAACCAATCCTGTGAGCCCTGTAGTTCAATAGAAGGGGAGTACAAATGGAGGCTAGGAGAGAAAAAGGGGTAAACAGCAGAAAAATGTGAGAGGAAAGGTAGCGAAAAACAGTTGGGACAAATGTAAATGATGAGGGAAGAAAAGTAAGCAAAGGGAAATAAAAGAATTCATCATGCTTGCAAGTTTGATATCAGAGAGTTATAGAAAATAAAAAGTCTTTGGGGTCTGTTCTGAGTCTAGACAGATTGAATCCTATTTCCTATACATTCTCCATATTTGTAGAAATCACTGAATCTAATCCCCTATTTTCATGGTAAAGGGATGCAGGCCTTGAGAGTATGAATGACCCAAATGCTCTCTGTTGCTGTCTCCCTCGTAGAAACGTTGCAGAATTCTGAGTTATGATGCAGCAATTATCATATGTACATGCAACAAATGTATTTAAGAAATATTTTCACACTAGGTTGAAACAAGTTTATACTGCTTATAAATTTAGCTATTATTAGGTAATAGAAGATTCAATTTTTCAGAACACTTTAGTTAACTAGCATTCATATTCATGAAGGTTTTATGTAGATGTAATGCTTCTGCCAAGTAATGAGAATGTTATAATCCACTCTCTTTCTTTTTGTTCTGGCGGTTGGGAAACTGTTGAGATAATCAGACTAAATTTAATGCTCAGATAGTGTATTTCCTCAGAACTAACACATTTTATTTTCCGTAGCTTTATTTTTTCTTTTTCTGTTCTAATTTAACCTATTATAAAGTGCCACAGATCATTTTTAGAAAGGTTAAGGGATATATCATTATTATAGATAAGTTTCTGGATTTCTTTCAGAATTGGTATATGTATATCTAATATAAGAGTTCAGTCTTTTTCTTCCTAATTTTTCACTTTTTATTCAGCCAACTGTGATTTCTGGAATTTTAATTTTCAGTTTTTGAGCCCCACAATTTCTGAAGATACATAACAGGCCCTAACTATACTGAGGGAGCCATATTTTGGAAATTTCTTAAATGAAGAATCCTTTCGTAATATGAATAGTGACTCCTTAATTTATGTATTTTAAGTTTAGATTTTTGTGAAATGTTTAAAATGGGACACATCAGTGAAACTCTGAAAGTGGTACAGAAATGTGGGGAAAGAGTGGTAGGTAGGTTGCCTTCCTGACCATGTGACAGACTAAGAACAGACCTTGTGCATTCTTTTGGCCACTCATTTATTGTGACCTGATATCTTTTATATATTCAAGCATCTCAGGAAGCTGCCAGTGGTCACAACCTAAAGTTGTAGTTCATAATCTTGGAATTTCCATAGGGTAACTGCTCAAGATCTCTTGATCTAACCTAGCTATATCCGGCTCCTCATTAGAATATTTAAATCATAAACACTGCACAACCAATATTTTAACAATTTATTGAAAAGAGCTACTAATAGTATTAATGAAAAGTCTGAAAAGAGAGGACATTTTCCTTTGTGCCAGGCACAGTTCTAAGCACTTCACTTCTCATCATTTTCACATTTTACCTTCTAGTCCCTGTCTTCATCTGTGCAGCCTAGAAAAGAATTTTGTGTTCTTTTCTACTTTAAAATATATATTACACTTTTCCTGTGCTTTTACATAATATCAGTAAATTTAATTTTTAGTGGCTGCATAATATTTTCTCATGGTGTATTATAGTTTACTAAATCACTGTTATCTTTTTCAGTATAATTTGAAAATAATATATTTAAAGAAAGGAAAGTCTTAGATATAGTTTAGTATTTCTCACTCAATCTTTTCTTTACCAATTTACCCATAAAGATAGCTTGAAGTTGGAATACTTCTCCAGTGATTTGTCCATTGAGATTGGGCCTCTGTTTATCTTTTTTTTTTTTTCCTTTGGAGATAAGAGTCTCACCCTGTTGCCCGGGCTAGAGTGCTGTGGCATCAGCCTAGCTCACAGCAACCTCCAACTCCTGGACTCAAAGCCATCTTCCTGCCTCAGCCTGCCAAGTAGTTGGGACTATAAGCATGGCACGACATCTGGCTAATTTTTTGTTGTTGTTAGAGACAGGGTCTTGCCCTTGTTCAGGCTGGTCTCAAATTCCTGAGCTCAAGTGATCC